AGCTCAGTGTACAGAAGAAAAGCAAGCAAAAGAAAAGAATAGCTCAGTAAGACTCAAAGAAGAAAATCTCAGTGAGATAAACGAATTAATATAAATCAGGGAGAAAAAAAAAGAATGGTTTGGAAAGAAAAATAACATAGGAATAGACCAAAAGAGCTCAATGAGTGAGCCGGATACAATTAAGTGAGACAAATTATAGCTCAGCTAGGAGAAACGGATAGTGCATGAAGAAACCATAATTGCTCAATAAGAGTGAAGGACATATCAGTAAGAGAGCAATATAGCCGCGGTAACAGCAGAAAAAAAATATATGTGCGCTTGCATCACTTACATTTAGTTTGGACATTTATTAGTTGTCGGTTTTTTAAACGTTTACCATTTGAGAGGTACCGTATAATACACTCGCGTATAAGACGACCCGCGATACGACTACTGTTGTATGAGGAGAGTAAGACGACCCCCTGAATTCCTACCTTTTTTCTGCTTTTTATGGTCCTGATACAGCAAATAGTTGGCTAAAAACGGGGCCAAATACAAGGCTACGGTAATCTTCCAAATAATAATAGTTTTAAATTGTCTATCAAAATCTTATTTTTCCGTATTTAAAATAGCGTTCATTCATACTAACATTTTATCTTCATTGCAGTAATAAATTCGCGTGTTACGTACGATCCGCACAAGACGAGCATGATTTTAAAAATCTAAAATTTGTATGTCGTTTTATGTAAATTAGTAGGGCCTATCCTAAGTATCATTTGCATTTTTGTCAGTCCTTGTGGTGTGTGGTACGTATTTTCATGGTGAAAAACGACTTGTTATTCTAAATTTTAATTTTATAGACTTTTACCTTTTGTTATGCTGTGCATAACCTGTATGTATCAATTATAATTTTACTAGCTTTTTACCATTTTGAACGCACCGCAATGGTTGTGAGTACCACTGATCTTAAAGGTGTTGTTTTCAAATAAAGTATATAATAACAAAAACTGAAAAAAACATCAAATTATCAAGTAGGTCTACCTTAAAATATCAATTATTAGTTTGCTATAAAAAAAAAAAGAAATGAATTTAGTCCTATCAATTTGGAAATCACAAAATTACACAAGAGAATAAATAAAAGCCAAAAAGCTAATAAAGACATCCTTAAAACTATTTAGGCCTAGTTCAGACTAGGTGGATAAACCCGGCCCAACTCACCAGGTTTATCCACCTGCCAGTCTGAACTAGGTGGCTTATCTTAAGCTGGGCTGTGTCCCTATAGTAACTAGGCTTGGCGTGCCACCGGCTACGTTCAGACTTGGAGATAAACCAGGCTTGAGTTAAGCCCGGCTCAACGTTAAGCCCGGCTTAACATTGCCGGGCGTTCAGACTTGCGGGTTTAGCCATGCGAGAATTTGCATAATAATGAACCGGAACCAGGAAACGTGTTTCTAAACATTGCTCGCGAAACGTACGCTCGCTCACAGCGTACGTATTGAATGCTGATTGGTCATTTCGTCATCCGAAGTCAATGCAAGACCCCCCCCCCCCAGAGACATTGCAACGATTAAAGCCCGGCTTAGAAAGTTAAACACGGTGGCACGCCAGGTAAAAAAAAAATGACCAATCAGCATTCAATTGCGTGTTTTGTGAGTGGGTGTACGTTTCAAGCTCAATGTTTCGAATCTCATTTCCTGGTTACGGTTCATTATGCTAATTCTCGCGCCTGGCTAATCCCGCTAGTCTGAACGCTCGGCAAAGTTAAGCCGGGCTTAACGTTGAGCCGGGCTTAATGTAATGTAGTATTAAGGTTCAATGCTATTAACTTGCATAACCATTGGAATCGATACCCTTCACCTGATAAATGCCTTAAATTGGTTTGACAGCTTTAATGGTCAACTTGAGTATACAGATAATCTAATAATATAACTGGACTTTGTATAACTTTACCCTAGTCAGTTGGGCTTGGCCTTTCTCACACTATGAATCTATGATTGTCAGTTTTGAGCCTAAGCTCTGAAGTTTGTGATACATCTTAATTAGCAGTTTTTTGGTAAACAAGTTACTAAATCATAGAGAAAGAATTTCTCTATGATCCAATCAGAAACTCTAAAAGTATGGGGTGACTTACTTGAGACACACCCCCATTACCTAAAGTATAATAGGCAAACGCCCCCATATCACTGAGTCAGGAATCAGTAGTCAGTAGTCAGTGATCAGTAGTGAGTAATCAGTAGTCAGTAGTAGTCAGTATTGAGTAGTCAGTAGTCAGTAGTTAGATTCAACACAGAAGAAAAGTACAGGGCTGAGCTGATTCCACTCTAAAAGGGTTCTCTACCATCTCAAACCTGGAGTTTAGCTGATTGTAATCATGTACAGTTTGTGAGGATAAAAGTTTGCAGTGTACTAAAAGGAACTGTGTCATACTACTCATTAAAAGTCGACAGCAACTAACCGATATTTAACATTAACTCAAGCCTGGCTTATCCCCAAGTCTGAATGTAGCCTCAGGCCTTCCAACAAGGCGTCAGTGGCCTCACTAAGGCTACGTTCAGACTTGAAGATAAACCAGGCTTATGTTAAGCCTGGTCTTAAGGTTAAGCCCGGCTTAAATTTGCCGGGCGTTCAGACTAGCGAGATTAGCCAGGCACGAGAATTAGCATAACGAACCGTAACCAGGAAATGAGTTTCGAAACATTGGGCTCGAAACGTACGCTCGCTCACAGCGTACGTAATTTAATGCTGGTTGGCCATTTTTTTTACCGGAAGTCAATGCAAGTCCTCCCGCAGCGATTAAAGCCCGGCTTAGAAAAGTTAAACACGGTGGCACGCCAGGCCTAGTTACTATAGGAACACAGCCCGGCTTGAGATAAGCCACCTAGTTCAGACTAGCAGGTGGATAAACCCGGTGAGTTGAGCCGGGTTTATCCACCTAGTCAGAACTAGGCCTCAGTGACGTATCAGTTTGGACAAGTTTCTTTTGGCATTTGTACAAATTATTGTTAAAAATAACGATTCTTGCAATACTTTTTAATAATAAATATAACTTTAGCGTAATGATTATTTTTCACATCATCCAACCACTTGACGTGACTGTTTATGCAGTTTAAAAACGCGCCCAGCGAAGTTTTTTGCGTTATTAGTGATCGATGTCACTATAACCATGCTATAACAACGCGACTTCGCTCGTGCTTTTGTAAACTGCATAAACAGTCGCGCCGAGTGGTTAGATAATTTAAAAAAAAAATGGTTTCGTTAAATTGAAATTTATTATTGGAAAGTATAAATCGTTATTTTTAACAATAATTTAAACAAATGCCAAAAGAATCTTGTCTGAACACGTCAATGGTTTACTGTGTGCGCCATCTATAGATAAGATCGAAGAATATGGCCATTCTATACTCTTTGCTAGGATTAACTCAACTGGAATGGCTCAAGTATCATTCTAAGGGTAAGCCTTTCAAAACATTTCAGTTTATTGGTTTTATATTATTTATTTTAATCGACTACACTATCTCAATGCAATTAAGGCCTATATATTAATAGTTAAAAAAAACTATTCGAACAAATTTTTCCAGAGCCATTTCTGGGCATTTGAGGAAACTATTTTTAACGAACATAGGCCTATGTATTTTTTGCTTATGATCCCTATTCCTAAATTTTATGTACGCTTTATTCACTTATTTCATCAAATAATATAGTACAGTAGTAGTATAGAGTTCGTCGTCTACCTCCAATGCATTTCCTATATTAATAATATAATAACACTATTTATTATAATATGGTACATAAAAGTCAACTCGTTTGTGAGGATATGAAATAAATATGCGTTCGTAAAAAAAAACATATATTTTTAACATTTTTTCACCTACGCCCCAACTGTGGAGCTGGGGTGGGCGTCAATGCCCCGTTCAGGCACTTTGTTGACCCTCAATAAATGCTATAGATAATTGGTTGGATGCATGCTATTATAATATCTTACTGCTATATCTTTCATGTCTAGATAATGTCAGTAATGTAGGCCTAAGCATGGTTTAGAAGTTAAGTTACATCTTGAGACCCTTACTATTAATAACTTGTTATCAATGATTTACCAAACCATCTGTCTGAGTGTAATATGTATTCATGATACTGAAATATATTATGCAGGTATAAAATTAAATGTAGGTATATTGACAATAAAAACAATCGTGAATTTTTTTTCCTACCATTTAGCAACACACACAGCAAATAAAATACGAATTGCATTTTGGTCATTATTAAGGCATACTAAATTAAAAGTTTAATAAAGCATTGCAAACCTGAGTACTTTTTTTCAAAAAATAGCATAATTTGGAAGTGGAAAAACAGCAGTGTTAGGTATGCATCCCCAGTCGGAGAACTCACAGGCTTTAGGTCGCCAAGTTTAGGTTGGTTGCAAGGCAATTAAAAGTGCAATAATTCGTTATGAAATGTTGTATAATGTATGTAAGATGATACTAAGTGGTTAATTATCTGATAGTCTGCTATTTGCTATATTTTTTTTGATAAGCAAGTGGCGACTAATACACGTTTCAATAAATGAAGCAAAATCCGCATTTTGCATTGGGTAATGTTACTTTGTATTTCCATCAACATTTTTATTACTTTTTTTTTAAAGAGTGTAACGAAAATTTTTTTTCTTTAAATAATATATAACATATAGTAACAATAATATAATGAAAAACACATTACATTTTAAGCAAGGTATATTTTCTGTGATACTGAATACTGCGTAAGTTTAATAAATTAATTTTAATTTCCTCCATGTTTGGGTATGGACTTCGATCTTTTTCCGGGATATTTGCAATATATTCATTGGTAAATATTTTCTGAAATTATTTAGATAAGACTTTTGCTTTGTTTTTACCTTCTGTTACAAATTTACCATCAGTTTGCAAAAGTGCAATTCCTATCCTATCTCATTTTAGTCCGTTTATGAATGTGTAGTTTTTATGAGCACCACCATGTTCAGGTTCATCGAACATCTTACGATGTCATACGCCTTTTTACTCTCAATTTTTATTGTTATCGGGGCCATTATGAATTGAATATTAGGTCTGGTAACGGATGGATAAAAGGATAAAACCGACCTAGTGGTTGTGATGGTTAACCATACTAATGGATCTGAACTCTTGGCTTCCACCGTCACCGGGATGATATGGGTCATTTACAATTCGCCTTTTGTGTGCATACTTTCAAGCGATCGCTGGGGCATGCATTTAATTGTTGATTATAATTGTAAGCTATTCCTACTATTCACTATTCCCTTTTCATATTTCTTCAGATCACGTAATCATGTCAACGAACAGTGAGTTCGGGAGATATGCCTGTCAGGCACTCTGTGGATCATGTTTGTCACTTCTGCTGGGTTTTGGTGTGCTCAATACATTTAGCGTATTCCAGGATCATATTGACACCGAATTTGAGAATTCATCGTCAACAATTACTTGGTTGTTTTCATTCGCAGCCGCATTTTGGCAAGTTACAGGTAGGAGATGTGTACATTTTGCAAGGAAAAAGGACAGATAAATATATTAACTATTTTATTACAAAAAAAAAAAAGAGTAACGTTTTGAGTATCTATATTGAAATTGGCTTGAATTCATTGATAACAATAATAGTTATACTGAAGTGCCAGTACAACTTATATAGCATACCTTGGTGTATTTATGCCTAGAGTATGCAATTTGTATTGCGAATCAAGCAAATGAAACTCGTCCAGTCGGTAGTGCAAAAATGTCACTTAAACCAGCGCTGTTCAAGCAATCATTTACAAAAGAGTAGGCAGAAGGTTCTAAGTTTGAATCTCGGTAGGCTAGGGGGAACTTACAGATTCACCTCTATAACTTAACAAAAATTGTTTTTTTTTGTATCATGATATGTATTTGAGCACTGCTTTTTTTTTTTCTATTTGACACATACCGTATAGTATATAGGCCTATATATATATATATATATATATATATATATAACAAATAAAT